ATGCATAGGATAAAAATATAAAGGGACATAGGATAACCTTGTCTATACCCCTAGAAGGCATAAAGAAAGGAGTTCTAGTCCCATTAACTAGAAGGGAAATGTTACTAGTGATAACACAAGACATAATCAATCTAGTAATATTAGGAGGAAAATTAAAGTAGCAAAGGGTTCTAAAGATGAATAACAATTCCAATCTGTCAAAAGCTTTTTTTAGATCAATTTTGAGAATCATGCCATGATTAGAACCTTTTTGTTCATTAAAGTTGGCAATGACCTCTTGAATAATAATAGGGTTATCACTAGCTCTTCTATTCTTTATGAAACTAACTTAATAAGGACTAATGAGTTCATCCAAATAGGGCTTTATACGATTTTCAATAATCTTGGTAATGATGTTATAGATAGTATTACATAGACCTATTGGTCTAAAATTTCTGAGATCATTTGCATTCGGTATTTTTAGAATAAGGCAGATAAAAGTGTTATTAAGGAATTCATGAATTTTTTGTTGAGTGTTAAAGATGTTTTTGCAATAACTAAGTACCGCATGACCAACAATGGTCCAATATTTTTGGTAAAAGAAAGGATGAAACCCATCAGGTCCAGGAGCTTTAAAGGGTTTAAAGGAGAAGAGGGTGGAAATAATTTCTTGATCAGCAATCGGTTTGTCTAGGTTTTACAAATTTAATTTGTTAAAGGACCTAATACTAAAGTTGACGCTTTTCCAATCCAAACTAATGTGACTTGTGAAAATATTCCTAAAAAAATTAACGTATGGTCAACTACCTAAGCAGGGTCCTCAATCAAATTTCCCATATCATCTTTGAAGTGTGTAATTCTATTCTGCCTACGCCTATTTGTGGTGAAGATATGAAAAAATCTAGTATTTGCATCCCCCTCACTGAACCAATTAATTCTGGATCAAAGCTTCCAAAAATCCGCTTCCATCCTAAGCACGTTATTGTACTCATTAACTAGAGTAGATTAAAGCTGTTGCAAAAATGGGCTCGAAGTATACTTGTCGGAGGATTGAATACTAATAAGTCTAGCAAGAAGTCTACGATTCTTATGAAAGATGTTACCAAAAACTTTGTTGTTCCATCGAGTAACTTCATGCTCAAAATAATTGACTGCTTCTAAGAGATGTTTATTACTCTAGCATTTGTCAATTATATTGATAAAGTACGGATGGGAGCACCACATGGTTTCAAGCCTAAAAGGTTTGCTAGTGTTGCTCTTAAAACTATGGCTTAGTCTAATAAGGAGAGGGTTGTGATATGAGTAGGTTCTGGGGAGATATTTCACTATGGCATTTGGACAAATATTAAGCCATTCGTCATTAGCAAAATATTTATATAATCTCTCCATAATCAGGGCAGTACTTCTTTTCCTACAATTCGACCATGTATATTTACATCCCTTAAAACCAAGATCTAATAGCTTACACTTGTTAATACAGTTTCAAATCTTGGAGGCTCTAGTATTATTTATAGGGCGTCCTCCCCACTTGTCATCAAACATTAGAACGTTGTTAAAATCACTTATGACCAACCACGGACCAACATAAGTTTCATGCAAATTTTTTAAATTATTCCACATAATATTTCTATTATTAACAGTCGTACTGGCATATAAAGCACTAAAAAGCCAAGGTTTGTGATTCGGAAGTACCTTAATCATAGCATGAAGTTCTTGATCCATTCTCGCTATCTCATCTACAATCACCAAGTTATGCATCCACATAATCACTAAGCCACCAGAACGACTCTCGGCGGGGATTTCGATCATTTTACTAAAATAAAATTCATGTTGAAGGGGAGCATGGTCATGCATTCTAGTTTCAAGGAGAGTTACCATGCAAGGTTTATGAGTCTCTATAATTTTCCTAAAATTTCTACGGAAGTTTGCATTAATCGCACCACGTACATTCCAGATAACAAAGGAGGTTGCTCTATTCATTTGAAATGATGGGTTTGCAGGAGTCATTAGATTCTCCTCCATAAGAGAAAGTGCACTTCTCCTCACAGATGGGCTTAGTATTACTGCATGTTTTTTTACTGCTTGATTTATTTGTAGCCTTACGCCCATCAAGCTTTTGAATAGTGCTACTGGGCATTTGAGAATATACTTCTTGTCTTGCTTCTCCTTGAATAACAATATTATTATTTCTCTTGGGCTTGAAATCTTTGTGCGAGATTTCCTTATGGGTCATATAGCTTCCCTTTGTTCTCCCATCACATGATTTGTCATGTCTTGTGCGTTGGGAGATAGTAGTTTGTCTAGTGAGACTGGATTGGCAGGCATCTGGGGTAATTGGTTTGTAGAGATTAACTTATCTATCTTACTTGATTGTTCTATTGCCATGGTAAGAAAATTAGACTTGTGGTTATTAGAGTCTAAGGTAGAAAGATTGAATTTTGGCGAGGAGGGTGGAAAGTATTTTGTAAAGCCTCGTGCTGAGATAAATATAAAATTTGGTTCCTAGCATTGTGTTGGTTTGGAGAGTATACATTGGAACCGCTTATGGGATAAGATTGGTTACTAGCAGAAAGAGAGTGCAAATATATCGAGGTATTATCGATTTGCATGGTTTCCGTACTGTGAATTGTGTGAATATTAGCCTCTTGTTCTAATTGGGTGTCCTGAGTATTGCCACCGGTATTAGCCATTTTTTCTTGGTTAGAAGTATCCTGAGTATTCCCACCGGTATTTGCCACTTTTTTTTTTGTTAATAGAGTAGTTTTTGTTTTGGAGTGACACCTTGGTAAAGCTACTGTTAAAATCATTATTAATAATGCTACTTATACTATGTAATGGTTGGATAAGAATTGACTTGGCACTTTTAGCATTAGCCACGTCAATGCCACTTGCCTTGGTATCTTTGTTTGTCTGCCTCGTTTGTAACGTTTCATACGAAAATTTGGATTGCATGCAATTTTTATCAATAATATGAGAGAAATTATAGGGATCTAGGCAAGGATCACTAAGAGAAGCAAATTGATTGTTGACTAGTAAATTAGGATCGACAGAAATATTATCTTCTTTTATGGTTTTGACAGCTTGACTAACTTTTGGGTCAGTAGCAAATAAACTAGTTTCTTCTTTGTAAATAGCTTTTAAGTATTGAGGTACTTACCTGTGGTAGCATAAAAAATTCTTACATTGATACCTGAATGAGTAGTATTCCCCGCATTCTTTTTCATTGGCAAATTCGTTTGCAATGACCTTTTCCTCCTTGGAAAAGAAACTGTTTGCCACTCTTCTGCTGATGTTGTCTGGATATTTATTTTGCTTGGAGGATTTTGGACTTCTTCAGTGAGAATGGGATATCTAAACATACATAACTGTTGAATATATGACCCAACCGTCCACAAGCCTTGCATAAAAAATTATCTCCTTCATAGAGGATGTGTTGCTTATGAGTACCAATGTAAAAAGGATTTAACTGGATGCTTTAATGACATCTCAATACATAATCTAGCATCTCCTCTCAGAGTTGCTGACGTACAAGCATCAACTTTTAAGAGGCGACCCAATTTGTTGCCAATCTGTTTTAGGATATCATCATCATAGAACTCAGTTGGCAATTGAGGAAGTCGTACCCAAACTGCAGAAGTAGTTTGTTTCACTTTGGAAGGAACAAAGTTCGGGATCCACTTCATTATTGATAAAAAATGTCCATTAATAAACCATGGACCTCGGTGAAGAGCTCTAACCATATTCTCTTCCTTAGAGAATTTAACAATATAATAATCTTCACCCAAATCAATTAGTAGAAATTGTTCGGTGGGCTTCCATAGTTCCTGGATTTTTCGCTTAAGATATTGATGTAAAATGCACTTACCCATTAATATGATAATGATTGAGAATTTTCATGGATTGTATATACGCATCATTTCTTTTGAAGATAGTTGAATGGTGTTATCATCAGATCTATAGGTTGGTGAAGAAGGGTCCAGAATCATTATTTCCTCGTAATCTTTCTCTGAAGACATAGCAGGCACATGTGTGGAAGGATTGAAGTGCATCGGGTCGCTGGCAAGAGAGAAGAAAGAGAAGAGAGAAGGAGGACTTTCTCTCTCTAAGTCTAAAATTTCTTAATTCACATAATTTATATATATTTCTTAAACGTTTTCACTGTTTTATCTTTTAACGTATTATTTCAAATTTAGACTTAACATTCTTGAATGATAAATAAATTTTAAAGCCCATAAATGTAGTAACTCAAACAAAGTTCAAATCAATACTAATATTAACAAAAGAAATTCAATTCAATACTAGGAATGACAATAATGTTGGATAATTATTTTAGTTTTACATTGGTTTATAATAAAAATGCATAACTTAGTTTATCTTTTTCTTTAGTGCTTAGTTATGTAATTAATATTAGTACTTATTAGCTATACTTATTTTAGCATGACCTATATAGCATTTTTAGATTATGTTAATTTTTATTATGGCTTATTAATTAGCAATATTTGTTTTATGTAATTTTATTATTTTATCTTTGTTACTGAAGAATATTTTAGTATAATCTTATGACTTATCTCATATTATTGTGTTAGTTTCTTAAAAAATACATTATATAGTTGTATTTTACTAGAACTGAAGAAATATTTGGAGAACAAGTTACATATTTTATGCTATGAAGACTTACCAAAAAAAAACCGGAAAATCCAAGAAAAACTGAGATTGAAAAACCCGACTTTGTTGGTTTGGTTTATAAATTAAAAATCCTGATACCATTAGTTTGATTTGATAATTGAAAAATCCGAACAAACCCGATGTATGTGCACCCCTACTTCTCGGAGACCTTTTTTGCATTTGCTACCGAATCTCAACAGCACCGACCCACTACTTTGTACATATTTGTTAGAATAGCAGAACTCAAATGATAAGCATATTACAATCCAAAATAACCACTCCCAAATTAACAGGGTACACACAAACATGTTGACTATGGTGGATGTTATTGTCATTGTAATCCTTCGCAATCAACACAAATATGAAAATGCAATCTCATAAATCAAATTAAACTAGGTAGATGTATTAACATGAGCTACGTTTCATGTGATTCGCAATTTTCTTCTTTAACAATCACTACACATCATTGCACCCTCAAATAACCCTCGTTTCTAAAAAAAAAATCACCCACATAAAATCCTAAAAAGCACTAGTTAAATTAAAAGAGAAAGAAAACAAAAAAGAGTAACACTAGGATTAATGTCAAAGAAAGGAGCATAGAGACACCAATTATGGATGAATTTAAATTTGAACTCCAAAGATGTCCTAAATCACAAGTACTGTTCTTGGATCCTGGCTCTGTTCTCTTCCCACCACAACCTGGCATGCATTTCTCCGAATTTTTCACGACTGCATAAAAAGCTCATTCCGTGTCAGAAAAGAGCGTAGAGTGTACTTAATCTTTCATTCATGATATACAACTATAAACAAGATGTAATTCAATCAGAAGTATATATCTTTTTCTCAAAATTTTAATGGATTGCAAAAATTAAGAGAAGATTCACTTTCATGGTTCATTGAAGCAGTACCAAGCTTTACAGATTAATGACTCCCAAGTTTAAAAGGATCTCAATTCTCAATCAAAAGCATGGAAAGCACAAGAAAACATTCCAATATAGACATCCAGATGGATGTCAACCCTAAAATTAGATGCTAGTATGACAAAGAATACAGTAATTCAAGCCGTCAGATGGTTTTGAGTAAAAGACGAGTGTCTTTCTGAATCAGGGAACAGTGAGACACAAATTTCATTCTTGTATTGACCATAAATGATTCAGTTGATAGGATGACAACATTAACAATTCATTACCCTCCATCCCCACTGAAATTCCCTGGAGCAGAACTCATGCACACAAGAGTAGAGGTTGGTGCAGAAGAAGATGGATTAGTTGGTCAAGAACCGCTTTCACTATTCTATTCATCCAAATAATTGAGGTTCAATTCAGTGACCGCATTATATTCAGATTTATTTAGTTAGAATCTTTTACTAATTCCATTTTAATCAGTTTAAGAATATGCAGAGGTAACAAGAGGTTTGTTGTAGAATTCCAGATAAAGTTATAGTAGAAGCCAGCAAAAACCAAAATGATTCTATATAGATTAAAGAGAGATTTAACTCATCTGATATTGCCCTCTGAACATAGGAGCTGATATATGCATAAAAAGAATTACTAACCTGAACCTGACTCTTCTAAGCTCTCGAGTACCGCCAGGCAATGCTCGAATCGTGATATAGACTCCAGGCTCGTCTTCTTCAACCCATTCAGTCTCAACATCGCTGGCATTGCTAACGGACAGCTCTCCTGAGCGATCAGCCTCCCTTGAAGAACTAGACCGTGCAGAAGCGTCCATTGAAGGTGTCTCACTTTTTGACGAACTGATGCTAGAGAGTTTAGGGGTCGAAGTGAGACCACCTGCATCATAATAATGACGAGATTGCAATGGATCTCCTTCAATAGAGCCTGACGACAATTGGCCCACCCCTGTTGAACGATTAAAGTGGCTAGGGAGACGCTCTTTGGTTAGTGGAGGTGTTACAGGGCTACTCTCAGCATATTCAAGCTTTAAGTTCTGAAAGAAAAGGGTACATATAATGAAGAAACATACAACACATACATGCACTTGTAAAAACAAAAGAGCAAGGCGGCATACAAGAATGCTGCTCCAAGCAATTTAATAGTGTTGCTAGCAACATTTTTATAAAAAGACGATAAAACAAAGGTTCACCTCATCTTCAGACTTCGGAGGAGTTGGCAATGGTACTGCTTGTCGATTGAACCTACGAACATTGTATAGTTCCATGACCTTGTCATAATTCTCAGCCCACCACCGTTGAGCTTGCCACTTGTTAAACATCTCACGGCTGACAAAAACATCAGTAAGATTTTAAAACTCCCAACCAGTTTACCAACTATGACCAAGATGGGAAGGTGGAAGATGTATTCAATCATAAAAGATGCATAAAAAATATGCTCGTGAGAAAGCTGGGATAATCCCTATTCAGATAGAAAGGCCAAGTGTTGCAACACTGCTTTCCTCCATCAGTTAATAATTGTCGTCAGTAAAGTAGTGACATAATGGAGCTGACAGCTCAAAAAGACGACAAATCATGTCTGCAACTTCAACCAAGTTTTATTCTAAAAGAAATAAGCATCTTGTCGAGCTGATCTTCCAATTGAAGATTCCAAAACTCAAAACTTGACTGGCTATTCGTGATTACAGCAGTCCAGAGTAGCATTGACTCTAATGTTGGAGCTATAGCATAGTAAGCAAAATAGCGCTGGGACATGAGGAGCAAGATTCCAGTTCTTTTAATTCATCACAGACAATTTTGTTAGACACAATTTGTGCAATTCATTTCAGTTGCAGCTCATGCACGATGCAGAAGCTAATTAGTAAACTTTGTATAACTGCTGGTAGAAGAAGGAAGCACTCTATGATAGGAAGATGGAAAACCACAATAACACACTCAAAAATTGCAATTTGACCTGGAAAGGAAACTATATGTTACAGTTTCGTTGAGAAGAAAAGAAACAAGATAAGATCACATGTTGTCAGCACGAAAAATTACTTCATTTTTTTTCTGCAGCAGCGTTAAAGACACATGCATAATACAAACGAGACAGCAGGAATATGATACGGTAAAAATGTCCATGGAGTATTTTTCTGCTTATGCCAGATGGTAGCTTTCATTAAGATCATCAGATATCAGATTTGAGAACAAGTGACTGGTATGCAGCCATGTGGAACAGACAACTGGTCCGCTCTACCCTGTTATACACATACAAGTCTTCAATAATTTGCTATGTAAGAGGGGACACCCAGTCACCCTGCCGGTAGAACATGAGACCCTCCTAAAACTTGATTCATATGATATTGTCAAGAGTGGAACCCTCCAACTATGTCACGTTTAAATAAGCCGATCATTAAGTAAACCAAAATCATAACTTTATCCCAGTCAATTAAATCATCCCTTTAACCCTGCCAGTTAACATGAAAACTGAATCCCAAAGCTCGACGACATAAGAATGGTTAAGCTTGTTTTACCTATAAGTAAAGCAAGATACATCCATCAAGAATGGCAAGGCATGTTAATTTTTAAGGCTTACTAATAGGATTTAGAAGCCTGAATATTGTATATGCTTCTTTCATACTTTTTTTATATTCAATTTGTAAGGTCACCAAGCCAATATTTTATGTCTTTGGCAAAAAGACCCACTTTTGGGCCACTCCATAATTTCGGGCATAGTGCAGCACAATTAGATACACAAAAGTCCATTCCGTCCAACTACATTACTGTACAATTAAAAATCACATTCCAGAAAAGGACCCATCAAAAAGTCATTCGGCCACGCACAGAAAAAAGCAGAAAAAATTGTAATAGTAACCACTCCCAAACAAACAAAGACTTTCGAAGAACAGATCAAAGCAGAGAAAAGAGAAGCAAATGGAACAGATTAATACCTGAATCGAATTCGTTTCAGATCATTTCCACCCTCAGGCAGGGAAACAAACGTGATTAGAACACCCGGTTCCACTTGGGCAACCCACTCTTTTGACTCATCATCATCTTCCATACCGACAACTGATTCGCTCCGGCCACTTACTGATACTGGCGTACTTTCGCCACTAGACAGAACTTTCAATCTCCCTTTCATTTTTGGCGTCGAATTTGAACTCCCAGCCCTTTTATACGAGTAATGAAATCTTTCGGACACAGACCCAGTTTCAGAATCAGCATAGTTAGGGTTCTGGTTG